AGACTACATGGCTGATTCTCCTATGGGGTAGAATTCTCGGTTCATTTTCCTTTTTTAAAATTTACTTATTTGTTTAATCACTTTACAGCCTGATCCCACAGCCCACTCCTTCTTCTCCTCCCAGTCCCACCCTCATATCCTCCTCTCCTCCACTCTCCTCAGGGAAGGGGAGACCCCCAAGGGATCCAAAAGCAGACAACAGAGTCAGAGACAGCCCTTGCTCAGATTTTTAGGGGGCTCACATGCTGACCAAGCCGCACATTTACTACATACGTGAGGGGGTCTAGGTCCAGCTCATGCATGCTCTTTGGTTGGTGGTTTAGTCTCTCTGAGCTATCATGGGCCCAGGTTAATCCATTCTATAGGTATTCTTGAGGTGTCCTTGACCCCACTGGCTCCCTCAATCCTTCCTCCCGCTCTTCCTCCCACTCCCTGGATTTTGCCTATAATTTGACTGTTGGTCTCTCCACCTATTTCCATCAGCTTCTGGATGAAGCCTCTCAGAAAACAGTTATTCTAGGATCCAGTCTACAAGCAAAGCAGAATATCAGTAATTGTGATACTCTCAAGCTGGGTCAGTCATTCGTTTGCCATTCTCTCAATCTATCCATCTTAACCCCTATATTCTTGTAGGCAAGACAAATTTTGTGTCAAAGGTTTTATGGATGGGTCGGGGTCTCCCTCCCTCCACTGAAAGTCCCACCTGGCTACAGGAGGTGGCAACTTCAGGCTCCATTTCCCCTGCTGCTAGGAGTCTCAGTTTGGGTCACCCCATAGTCTGCTGGGAACCTCCCCTGTCCCAGAGATGCACCCCCACACTGATTTCCATTCTCTAATCCCCCCTCCTTTCCCCAACCTGATCCCTTTACCCTACCCACCCCCTTTCTCACAAAGTTCCCTCTATCTATCTACTTCAGATTTCTATTTTATTTCATCTTCTGAGTGAGATTCAAGCATCTTCCTCAGTTCCTTCTTGGCTTCTCTGGGTATGAGGCTTATACCCAATGGGTATGTGTATAACATGGTTATTTTATACTTTATGGCTAATACCTATTTATAAGTGAGTACATATCATACATGTGTCCTCACTCAGAATATTTTCTATTTTCATCCATTTGCCTGCAAATTACATGATGCCATTGTTTTGTTTTAATTTTTATTAATTACAGTTTATTCACTTTGTATCCCAGCTGTAGCTCCCTCTTCCATACCCTCCCAACCCCACACTCCCTCCCTTCTTCTTCTTCAATGCCCCTCCCCATCCAATGATAGGGGAGGTCCTCCTCCCCTTCCATCTGACCCTAGTCTATCAGGTCTCATCAGGACTGGCTTCACTGTCTTCCTCTGTGGTCAGGTAAGGCTGCTCCCCACTCAGGTGGAGGTGATCAAAGAGCCAGCCCATGAGTTCATGTCAGAGACAGTCCCTGTTCCTATTACTGGGGGCCCTCTTGGACACTGAGCTGCCTACACCTGTGCAGGGGTCCTAGGTTATCTCCATGCATGGACCTTGTTTGGAGTATCAGTCTCACAAAAACCCCTGTGTTTTAACAGCTGAGTAGTATTCCATTGTGTAAATGTACCACATTTTCTTTATCTAGATTTTACTTGAGAGACATCTAGGTTGTTTTCAGTTTCTGACTATGATGAATAAAGCTGCTGGAAACATAGCTGAGAAAGTGTTCTTTTGGTATGATGAAACATCTTTTGGATATATGCCTAGGAATGGTATAGCTGGGTGTTGAGGTAGATCTATTTCCAATTTTTTTGAGAAATCTTCAGTTTGATTTCTGTAGTGATCATACAAGTTTGCACTCCCACCGACAATACAGGACTCTTCCCCTTGCTTCACATCCCCTCTAGCATGTGCTGTCATTTAAGTTTGATCCTAGACATTCTGATGGGTGGAAGATGGAATCTCAGGGTCCTTTTGATTTGCATTTACCTGATGACTCAGGAGGTTGAGCATTTCTTTAAGTGCTGCTCAACCATTAGATATTCCCCGGTTAAGAAATGGAGTATTACTCAGCAATGAAAAATAAGGAAATCATGAAATTTGCAGGTAAATGGTGGGACCTGGAAAGGATCATCCTGAGTGAGTTGACCCACCCAGAAGCAAAAAGACACTCACGGTATATACTCACTCATATAAACATACAACATAGAATAAACCCACTAAAAGCTGTACATCTAAACAAACTAAGCAAAAGAGAGGACCCTAACTAAAATGTTCAATCCCCATCCTGAAAGGCAAAGAGGATGGACATCAGAAGAAAACGAAAATAGGAAACAACCTCGGAACCCGCTACAGAGGACCTCTGAAAGCCAGAAGAAAACAGGAAACAACCTTGAAACCTGCCACAGAGGGCCTCTGAAAGCTTCTGCAGTATAGACTGTCAAAGCAGATGCTGAGCCTGATGGCCAACTGATGGGCAGAGTGAATGGAATTTTATGTAAGAAGTGGGAAATAGTAAGAGCTGGAGGGAACGGGAACTCCACAAGCAGAGCAACAGAACAAGATAATTTGAACACAGGGAACTTCCCAGAGACTCATACTCCAACCAAGGACTATTCGTAGAGATGACCTGGAACCCCTGCACAGGTGTAGCCCATGGCAGTTCAGTGTCCAAGTGGGTTACGTAGTAATGGGAAGAGGGACTGCCTCTGACATAATCTGATTGGCCTGCTCGTTGATCACTTCCCCCTGAGGGGGGAGCAGCCTTACCAGGCCACAGTAGAGGACAATGCAGCCACTTTTGATGAGAACTGATAGACTAAGATCAGAAAGAAGAGGAGAACCTCCCCTATCAGTGGACTTGGGCAGTGGCATGCATGCAGAAAGGGGAGGGAGGGTGGGATTGGCAGGGGAGGAGGGAGGGGCTTATGGGGGGATACAAAATGAATAAAGTGTAATTAATAAAAATAATAATAATAATAATAATAATAATAATAAAAGAAACCATGAATGAACCAAAAAAAAAAAAAAAAGAATTCTCTGTTTAGCTCTGTACCCCATTTTTAATTGAGTTATTTGGTTTGTTGATGTTTCACTTCTTGAGTTCTTTATATATTTTGGCTATTAGCTCTCTGTTGGATGTAGGGTTCATTAAGGTCTTTTCCTATTATGTAGGCTGTTGTTTTATCCTATTGACAGCGTCCTTCATCTTCCTTAAGGAAGGTGCTTTGTATACTTTGCATTTAATATGGTGGGAAGCACTTAATTTTGACTCAAGTAAAAATTGTTAACTCTGGGTGGCTTAAACCAAAGGTATATATTAAAGTTAATGATTCTGAGTAAGAATGCCAACTGGATATTTCATCAAGTCTGATGAGGGTGGCCAGGGCTGACACTAGGGCAGTAAACACAAGGACAAATAGATTATAAGTCTTAGCTTGTCCCTTAACAAGAAGTTAAGTTCATATTCAGAAGGTAAAGAAATATAGCAACCCTTTGACAGCAATGGAACACAGTAACTTGTGAAAGTCTTTTCGTGTGTGGATCAGGAGAATTTGGGGTCACCTTTCTTTTTTTATTTTTTTTCACAATTTATTCCTTATATATCCCCATTGAAGCCCCCTCTTTCAACTTCCCCCAGTCCCTTCCTTCCTCCCTCCCTCCTTCTTCTCCTCATCCCTTTCCCCTAGTCCACTGAAAGGGGAAGTTCTCCACTATTTACCCCTCCAAAAGCTTGTTAAATCTCATCGGGACTGCCTGGATCTTCTTGCTCTGTGTTCTGGCAAGGCTGTATCATCAGGGGGAAGTGATCACAGAGCAGGCTTCTGAGTCCATGACAGAGGCAGCCCCTGCTCCCCTCCCCTTAGTCGGGGACCCACAAGGAGCTCCCCATGTGCTACATCTAAGCAGGGGGTCTAGGTCCTCTGCATGCATATTCCTTGGTTGGTGCATCAGTCTCTGCAGGACCCCCCCCTTGGATCAGATTTTTTAACTTTGTTGTTCTCTTTGTGGGGCTCCTGTCTCCTTCCCCCAACAGAAGCAGAAAGACACGCATGGTATATACTCACTTATAAGTGGACTTTAACCATATAATATAGGACAACCATACTTAAATCTACAGACCTACAGAAGCTAAATAAAAAGCAGGACCCTAGAGAGGATGTTTAAATCTCATTCAGAGTGGCAAACAAGATAGACACCAGAAATGGTGGAAGATCGGCAACAGGATGGGAGCCTACGACAGATGGTCCACTGAAAGGCTCCACCCAACAGGGGATCTAAGCAGAGGCTGAGACTCACAGCCAAACTTTGGGCAGAGTACAGGGAGTCTTACGGAAGAAGGGGATGGGGACAGAAGTCCATTCTTTAATCAATAAGAACAGAGAGATATTTGCTTTTTTTTTCTTTCAGAAAAGCTTCAATAAGTTCAATAAGAGTATAGCTTTGTTACATTTTTCCATTTGCCGCAAACTAGCATGTGCCAAACCAGGGCTTCTCCCTCAGCAGAAATCCTAGAATGAATTTATATAGTATAGCCTCATAGATCATCTGTAGCAGGACATAAAAAAAATAAACTGGGTTTTGAAAACCATTGAGTTTTAACGTCATTCTTTTTCACATTAGGACCTGGAAAAGAATCATATTATATTTATATATTTGATATAGCCCCTTAAAATAGGTCTTTTCTGTTCAGTTTTCAACTTTCAAATTTTTCGTTTGTATTCTTTATGACTGCTGTTGTTTGTGTTTTTATTCTGGTCTTTGATTCCATGTCCTCCCAGTCACAAAAAAACTTTACAAAAAAGCTAATCATGACATGCATTTCTTTCTACACATTTTGTTTCCTTCTTCCCTGAGAGCTGTTTCCATACAGCTGTGCTGGAGTCACCATGAATCCCACATTACTGAAAAAAACAGCTTCTTTCTGAAAATTTTGACATTTCAAACATGTAAGAGACCAGTGCACTAGCCTGGACTTATTCTCTCTCTCTCTCTCTCTCTCTCTCTCTCTGTCTCTCTCTCTCTCTTTTCTTGTTGCTCATTGTAGGTCTTCTGTGATTTCCATGGACACTCCCAAAAGAAGAATGTATTCCTTTACGGTTGCAGCATGAAGGAAACTTTGTGGCAGGCAGGCTGCACTGTGGGTGGCTCTGCCCTCCTGGAGGATGTCAGCTACAGGGTAAGTCACTCTAAGGTACGGTATGGTATGATGTGACCACAACTTTATTGTGAGAATGTGTTACTACTCATATTTGTTTTTAGACACATGCCTTACCACTGACCTCTACCTTTAGTTCCCAGTCATCTTTTCTCTTTAAAAAAAATGACCCTCTTGATGATTATGCCCATACAATTATAATATAAAAAGAGTAGAGGTTTCTGTATCCTTTCTACATTTGTGTTGAATAATGTCACACTATTTGGTAACTTTAATTCTTGTCTTCTCTGTAGCACAGGGAATTGGTGACAAGAATCCTTATTTTAATGTCTAGCTTTATAATTATTAGCTGTACGAATTATCCTTCTGCCACATATAAAATAAAGATAGTATAAATTCTGTTTCTTTCGCAAAGATTGTGGGAGGAATATAATAATATTGAATGCAAAAGACCCTTACGCAAACATGAAAGGATGAACACGAAACCCTTAAGCAAACATGAAAGGCCTTCATCAACTCACATCTCTCTGCATGAACATCCCTTGAAAACCAGAAAAGTTACCTTCTGAACTTAACTTTATATTATGTAGGCTCTGGTAATATGGACTGCTGCATATTTACACTACGACAAAGAGGAAGTTATAGAGAGTAAAAAGGAGGAGCTAGTGCATGTCAGGATAATATAACTGCTTATAGGGCATCAAGAAGAATTAGAATTTTCAAGGTTGTCCAAATGGAAAATAAAGACTAGCTTTCCCTTCAAATTTATGAAGAAAAAAAGGAAGATTATGAGGATTCCAAGTTCTTGAAAATCATTTACTATTCTGAGCATTATAATTTACTGCACGCAAAGTAGATCCATCTTTAGGGCCAATGGTGTTATTAAAAGAGAAACAAAGGTCCACCCAATTAAGCAGAATTAGTGGTTCATGGGCTTAATCTTAGTACTAGAAGGCTGAAGTTGAAGGATGCTGAGTTGTAGGTCAGCTTAGGCTACATGCCAAGATACAATCTCAAACAAATCAATACAAAACAAGAGAAAATAAACACACAACAAAACAAAAAACCCAACCAACCAACCAAACAAAAACCAAATGAAACAAAATGAACACCTTATCAAACAGAAATAAATAAATATTCAACAAATTAAGTCCATCTGGAAATATTGTGTGTATGTGCCTGTGTGTGTGTTAGCCAGGATCATTGCTGTACTTCTGATGATCAGTTCTCCTAAAGTACTGACAGCAGAATAAAAAACAAATCGTCAGAATTCTATTAGTTTTAAGGCTTAACCCTGTTTACAGTGACAAACCACCAGAAGTCTAACTGCATAATATTACTTAGGAAGCCAGTACATGAGGACATTCACTGGGAAGCTCATGACATACTGTGAAGGATGGTCTTTTATACATGATGCAGGTGGATATAAAATACATCATTCAATCTTACTTAAAAGTCAGTAGGCTTTTATGATGTCTTTACTTAGAAAAGGCAACAATATTCATGGGCGATTCTCTCTTAGGAAAAGTGAGAAGAAACAGGGTCTATGGTCTCTTCTGCACAAAAAGGTCATAAAACTGAGCAGAGGCTGGGCATCACAGCTATCTTAACTGCTCCTCCATTGCTATGTTAAAGTACCCCAACCAAAGTAACTTTGGGCACATGGAGCTCTCTTAGCTCAAAGTATGAGGTACAGTATGTCATGACAAGGCAAGGTAGCAGAAGTTTAAAAGTAGCTGGTCACATCACATCCATAGTCAGGAAGCAGAGAAAAAAATACCTATGCTTAGCTCGTTTTATTTTTGCATGGTCTAGAATCCTAGCCAGGGAATAGTGCATCTCATAGTGGATCAGTCTCCTTGCCTCGATTAATTAATTCCCTACAAGAATGGAGAAATGCTCCAAAGCCCATATTCCAGCTGATTCTGCATCTCATCAGGTTGACATTGAGATTAACCATTTAAATGACCAATTAATTACAGAGTAAGTTCTTATCCTCTGTATTTCAGTTTTATTGTGTGATTATGTTATCTATGTTACATAATATTATAAACTAATGGAACAGGTATTTTGAACTCAGTTTGTGTCAAGTAAGGCAAAAGGCATAATAAGGGAGTGATATACAAACCCCAATTTCTGCCTCTAAGAACAAGCTGAGTAGTATTTGATAGCAATGCCATTAAAATATTAGCCCATCTCCGCACAGACATTCATCTCTGGGATTCACTATTTTAGGCTGGACAGTTGCCTGAGACTCACTTTTCTCCCTTGTAAAATGATAAAGTTGGAGTTTCTAAGAAATTTATAAAATTGAGTTTGTTGGTACTCTGGAGTTCTTCAAAGTTTATTCATGGGTCGTTAAGCCATTAAGGGGAAAAATGAATAATGTTTTGCTACTTTCCTTACTTACAGGCTTGCTTTTCAGTTTCTGATTAATATGTATCTCTTTCCACTGTTGATATTTTAAATCTAAGGCTCAGTGATTGATAAGTAATGAATTTGATTGTGTGATGTACAGGCTAAAATATGTTTTGCATGTGTATAAATGGATCTTTTCAGAACTGAGAGATCTCATCTATTTTGTCATGAGGAGATGGAGACCTTGGAGGGACTTTCTTTGCAAGACATGTTTATAGTCCTCTCACTTGCCAGGAGTCACAGTCTTGAGAGCGTATTTACATATCAAACAGAGCAACTCAATCAGAGGAACTTTGTCCTTTAATATCACTGTCAAACTGATAGACACATTTTACACTCATTCAAAATACTTATTCAACTTTATTAATCAACCCTAGTGGGACTTCCAGTTCCATTACTAAAACAGGTCAGTGAATATATTCCTTAAAACAAAATTACAAAAAAGGACAAAATTAACAAAATATGTGATTTTAAGCCTCTTGAAACTGACCAAATTCAGATAGAGAAATAACAAATCTTGAAAACCGCTGAAATTTTCTGAGGAACACACCAAATCTGACTTTCTTAATGGGGTTTCTTTAACCATTTACAAATTTGCTTATCAATATATACAGTTTAGAGCTAGGAATGGTAGGGAACATGCTTAGTCTCAGTACATCTGGGAACACCACAGTCAGAGTATATTTAAACAATTAGAGAAAGCTATGTTCAAAAATTACTGTTAAACATGATGACAATGACTTTGCATATAAACAATTTGGTAGAAAACTGGAAACAAAAAGTAAATGAAATGAGAAAAGAAGAATTAGGGAATAATTTTTTCTCCTGTTGGTTTGCCTAATTCAACCTCAACACGCAGACATCAGCCCCGTCTTATTGTATCATGTTTTGTCCTGTTCGGCTGTAGTCTCTAGGGACCTTGCCCTTTTCTGAAGAGGAAGCAAAGGGGAAGTAGATCTGGTGTAGAAGAGGTGTGTGGGGGAACCTAGGTGGACTAGAGGCATGGGCAAACTAGTTGGGATATATTGTGTGAAAGAAGATTCTTCTTTTAATAAAAAGTACCATAACCAAAGCAAAAAGTTACAGTGCTAGAATTATCATCAGATTTGAGATTAATAAAACTCAAATTAATAAACTTGATGACATATTCAACATTATTCATGTGAAAGGACAGAGAAAATTAAACAAGAAAGGTAAGCAAACTTTGAAATGTGAAGAACAGCTTCAAATTTAGCAATTTAAATGTAAGGAAAGACCTAAAAGAAAGAAATTATCATGATAAGTACATGAAGAATTAAAGGTAAATGACAAAGGAAATATTTTTAAGGAACAGAAGACTGAAAACATAATAACACAAAATAAACAGCAAAAGAACAGTTGTAAATCTGAAAACATAAGTGATGACACTAAACATGAATGGACAAAATATGTCATTCAAAATACAGGGCTTTAACACTCAATTAAAAATTCTCAATTACACGCTGTTTGTGAGAGATTAAATACTTTCAGAAGGATTAAAGTGAAAGTTGGGATAGATATACCAGGTAAGAAATTTCTATACCAGGGATCAGTGATTATATTAAGATAAGAAAACATAGATATTGGTGGCCATAATATTTTAACAAGAAAGTAATACTGTTCTCAAAAGAATATCAGAGTACATGGTAATGATGCATCACAAAAAGAGATGTTAGTATTCAAGATGTTAAAATTTGATGCTGAAGCTTCGATAGTTCGCTACTATTCTCTCAGAAATGATACGCATACTAAACTCTTTTTTAGAAAATGTGTGATGTGAGCACACATACATGACATCTGCCCTCAAAGAATGTACACAGTCTTTTTTTAATTTTTGTTTTTAAATATTAATTATAGGTTATTTACTTTGTATCCCAGCCATAGCCCCCTCTCTCATTCCCTCTCAATCCCACCCTCCCTCCCTCATCTCCTCCCTGTCCTTTTCCAAGTCTTAATGCACACCAAGAACTTCCCATGATAGGAACTTGGTGGCTGAAAAATCAGTCTTAGGACATTATTTTTAAAACAAGTAAGCAAGCAAGCAAACACACAAAACCATTAAAACCATGGCTGTATCTACTTGCAGCAGCAGAGTTATATTACAAATTAAGTTTGCAAGGAACATGATGTTCCTGAATGTTTGCACGTTAAACAACTTCTTTAATTTGTGGCTAAAAGAAGAAATATGAAGAGAAATTAGAAAATATATTGACACGATTAACAGTCAAAACCTAATACACCAAAAATTTTGGCATATAGTTATACAGTATTAGAAATGTAGATCTGAAAATAGTCATTTGAGCCTGCATATTTGAATTGAGTAGAAAAGAGAGCAAACATTGGACTGGAATGATGGCTCAGTGGTTAAGAACATATATTGCTAATGCAGAGGACCCAGTTCAATTCCTAGGCCCTATGCCAGGCAGCTCACAGCTACCTGTAATTTTAATTTAGCTCCAGATTATTCCTCAGCCAGAATTACAAGGAAAAGAAAGAAAATGAAAATTACCAGTTAGGAACAAAAAAAGGAAGCTTCTCTACAGAATGTGAAAATTGCAAGAGTGTTTGTTTGTTTGTTTGTTTGT